CTACTTTAATCAACTAGATTTCTTACATGTCTTACATCAATCCTTTAACCCTCTTGTGCTAATGTTATTAAACCAATATATTTCTAATGACTTTGAAAACTTCTTGTATTTCAATGTATGCTTACATTTGAAATCTTATGCAATTATGCGATTTCTAAGGCATTTCACAATATTGTCATAGTCTAGGTGCTTAGCTCATTTTTCATAGTGTTCAGGCAGAGGAAAAACTTAAGAACAGATCAGTAATTCTTAAAGTTGGTGTGCATAAGAATTATAGAAGGTGTTTTCTGAAAATGCAGGGTTCCTTCCCTCCCCACTACCCCTAGTTCATTCCTACTAAGAATTCAGGGGATGGAGCCCAAGAATCCATATTTTAAGCTACGAGATTGCTTCTTAGCTTGAGAATTGGTCAGTATTTCTGGCTGACTACAAAGGAAGTTAGGCATGTAATGTCCCCAAAAAGGGGCAAGAAATGAATGTGGTTAGTAAGCTTCTGGGGAAGACTCGCAATGGTTTCCTTTCAGATTTATTAGAAGAAAGTGAGATTTAAAAAATGGGTGAGGGAAGTAGGGATTCTAGATCACTGTAAGTTAATAAACTGCATAAGCATTTCCTAATCTATGTGTATCTGTTGGGCCATTATCCTTTGTCTCTTTCTCTCTCACTAGACAGTGAGTGTCTCTGGGACAATGACTAAGAAGTCTTTACCTTTTGCTCTCCAGTGCCTTACAAAGTACCTACCATATTACTGGCATTCAGTTAATAAACCAATGAATGCATTCATTTATTCATTTATCCACAAATATTTATTGAGCTCCTACCATGAATCAGGCACTGTTGTAGGTGCTGCAGATACAGTGGTGAATAATGACTCACTGAACTAGCAAAATGCTCATCTCCATAGCACAATGCAATCATGATATTGTCTTTGTGTCTCTCAGAGGATTTGGAGGATTAAGAGGCTAATGCTTATGGAACGACTCAAGACTTTTGGAGGAAAGAATAAAAAAGATAACACAGAGAAGACCGTTGTATGGGCCTGGGAGAAAAGATCCAGTTTTATTTGATTGCATTGCTCTTTTAGACTTTTCTCTTTAATAAGTTTGCTTTAGAGGAGAACAATTTAGAATATATCTCTGACAAATGCATTGGGATTATAGCAAGTTGATGAAGCATTTTGTCCATAAATTCACTGATCATAAGCTATTGGATACTTCAGTTTCCACTGATAGTTTAAGAATTCTGCAAAGCCTACCTGACCTCTTGCTCTTCACTGGTCAAACCCAACCCATACGTATGATGGATGTCATAGCAGGAGTTGCTGTCTTCCAGCAACCTAGGATATGGCAAGGAGAGAAACCATGTTTCAGCTGATAGCACTCAACGAATCAGTCTTTTCCTCATCACCCCCCAAACACACACGCACACATGCACGTATCCTGGCATAGCGGTGAGAAAAATTTGGACTTACCCAACTTTTTGAAACTGTTTCTCCAAGTTGTCCCAAACATATCTGATTTTCTGCACTTGGATGCATCGCAGCTGCAATTAGAAAAGTGATAGAACAGATGACATTCA